ACCCTCTCAGCTCTGCTTTCTGAGAACTTAAGATCCCGGAGAGGGACAGATTGACCGGATGGCAGGATTTCGTCCCGCCCGTCCGACGGAGGGGAAGCTGGAGGCCAGAGACCAGAGACGTTACATCGCACAGCTATTTCTCACCCTGCAGCCTTCCTGATAAGCGATTTATAAAAAACAGCGTTCACTGTCACGATGGACAAACAGCCTCTGGCTCAAATTTTGCAGACGTAGAAAAATGAAGCCGACAATTAACTCTTGAATGGCATTTCATGGATCAAGTGGCGTCGTATTTGTTTTCTAGGCTGCAAAACAATATTGCTGCGAGCTGAGTGGCTTAAAGCTACACACATCTGTGACCTCTCGGTGTCCGTGGGTCAGGGGTCCGGGCACAGCTCAGCTGGGTCCACTGCTCAGGGTCCCTCATAGGACTGACATCAAGGTGTCAGCGGAGATTGCTGTCTCATCTGAGGCCTCGACTGGCAGAGGATCAGCCTCCAAGCTCACGAGGTTGTCGGCGGAATTCAGTTCCACGTGGTTGCAAGACCGAGGGCTCCATTTTCTTTCCGGCTGTGGACGGCAGGCCGCCCTCAGCCCCTTGCTGTGTGGACGTCCCCAACATGGCCACCTGGTTCACCAAAGCCAGAAAGACAGAGTCTCTGAGCAAGATGGGCATTATAATCTGATGTAACGTAATCACATACAGATAATCAGTTATATCCCACCCCCTTTGCCCTGGTCTATGGGTTAGAAGCAAGTCGCAGGCCCGTCCACTCTCGTGGGCAGAGGTGCGACCCCCAGGAGGCAGGTCATGGTCGCCATCTTGGAATCCGTCTGCCACAGGCGTTAATTCATCTCTCGGGGGCTGACAAGCTCTCAGATGGTGCTTCGTGACCCACTTTCCAAGCACGCAGCATCTCACGGGCCTCACGGGGGTGAAGCCACCGCCCCAAAGACAGCAAGTGACGAGCAGAAGGAGAAGGCCACTTCACCAGCCACCTGCGCTGGGACACCCGGGCAAACTCTGGTCCTCATATTTGTAAACATCAATACTTTAGTGACGACTTACCAGCTGGGGGTGGCCGTTAGCAAGGACTGGCAATATTTCTAAAGGGCCAGAGAGTAACTATTTTTGGCTTTGCAGCCCAAATTGGTCTCGTTGTGACTTCTCAACTCTGCCATTGTGTCCTGAAGGCAGCCAAAGATAGCAGGCACCACAGGCTTTCTCAAGCTCGACACTGTTGACTTCTTGGGCTGGGTCATTCTCTGGGGTGAGATGGGTGTCCTGGGCACTGTGGGGTGTCGAGCAGCCTCCTGGCCCCCTCCCATTCGATGCCAGGAGCAGCCCCAGTTGTGACAACCACAAATGCCTCCAGACGTGGCCACATGTCACGTGGAAGGCAAATTCACCCCCAGTGGAGAAGCGCTGATGTCATCAAATGGGCGTGTCTATGTCTCAATAAAACTTTATTTATAAAAACAAGCGGGGAGCCAGCCGACACCTGGACTAGACATTTCCCTGTAAGATGAGGTCAGTCTGCGCTGGGACCGGGCTGTCCTCTGCCCCTCTTGGCTTTCCACGTGGCTGACTTTACTTATGGTAACAGGTGAGTCAGCCGAAAACACGACCCTCGGACAAAGTGGGCTGGATGGGATCCCAGGGAGGAACTAATTGCAGACACGACACTCCATGAACGCGAGAAAGGAGGGTCTGTGACTGGGGGTGCAAGAGGTCAGGAGGGCTCCCTGGAGGAGGGGACATTCACCTGGACCAAAAGCGGAGGCCACAGAGCATAGATAAGGCTGCTGCACACACCCCGAGAGCGGAGATGGGGGGCTCGACGGTGGGGAGGGCTCCACCTGACACCCCCAAGACCCACCTCCCCAGTCTAACCGTGAGAAAAACGCCAGACGAACCCCAAGAGAGGGGCGTTCCCCAAAATACGGAGACTGCCCCGGGGCATCGGAAACAAGAAAGTCTGAGAAACTTTCACGGCCCACAGGGTCATAAGGAGGCGTGAGGACTGAGTGTCCCGTGGGGTTCTGGGACAGAGAAGGACATCAGGGGAAACTGAGGACTCTGAACAGACTTTGGTTAATCATAATGTATCGATATTAGTTCATGAATCGTGACAGATGTACCGCACCCATGTAAGATGTGGACAACTGGGGAAACTGAGGCCCAGCGTATGGGGACGCTCCACAGCAGTGTCTCCGTCTGCTCTGGCGGCCAGAACAAAATATCACAGATGGGAGCTTCAAGGACACACATTTACCGTCTCGCAGTTCTGGAGGCTGGAAGTCCCAGATGAAGGTGTCACTAGGTCCTGATCCTGGTGAGGGCTCTCCTCTCGGCGTGCAGACGACCACCGTCTCGCTGTGGCCCCACACGGCCTTTCCTCTGTGCTCGCGGAGAGAGAGCTCTCTGGTGTCTCTTCTTACGAGGATACTAAGCCCATAGGGTCAGGGCCCCACCCCTGTGACCTCACATAACCTTAATCTCCCCCCCAAAAGCCCTATTTCCACATACAGTTGCTTCTCTGGGGTTAGGACCTCAACACGTGGATTGGAGGGGGTCACGAGTCAGTCCATAGCAACTGCCTTCTCAATTTTTCTGTACTTCTAAAACTGTTCTAAAACATAAAGTCTACTTTAGAACCCAAAGCAAAATATCCGACATTAGACTGGTCTTGAGCCGGGGGGTGGGGGAGACAGCGTCGTCCGGGCTCCTGGCACTGTGGGAGAGGCTGGGTGGGTGACGAAGGAACCGTCTGAACAAACAGAGACCCCCCCTGCGGACCAGCAGCGTCGGCACCGCGGGGAGGGTGTTAGAAACGAGGAATCTCTGTCTTACCCCAGACCTGCTCACCCAGAGGCTGCATTTTAACATGATTCTGGAGGATCCGTGGGGCACACTGGGGTTTGAGAAGTCCCTCCCCAGGCGTTCACCCAACGTGCAGGGGCTGCTGTGGCTGTGGGGCTCCCCCTGAGTGAATTCGGGCTCCAGGAATGCAGGAAATGGAGGAGGAGCAGGTCTGGGGGGAGCTAGGGGCTTCTGGTAGACTCGGTGAAACTGAGGGGCCAGCGAGAGGGCCATCCTTCCATCATCACTTGCTGGGCGCTGGGCACGTTCTGGGCGTCGCAAATACGAGGGGCAGCACAGCAGATGGTGGCAACTACAGTGCACTGGAGCCGACATTGCCCCCCCCCCCCCACCTTGGGAGAGCCGATTGCTAAAGTTTCAGGAATTTTGGAAGCTGATGATTAAACTCAGACATTATCAAAGATTAAGTTCTATAAACTCACAGTTTTAAAAATTATATTACAAAGCAAGTCACTAAGCACTCCAAATTCACCGCTTCCTATTTATTTTCCCATATTTTACAATTATCTCCCCCCCTCCCCGGGGTGGGGGGCAGCTACAGCCCTCGGGTCACATCTGGTCTGCCACCTGCATCTACGCAGCCCTAGAGCTCCGTTATTTTTGCGTTTTAAGTGATCAAAGGAGAAGCATATTTCGTGCGGTGTGAATATTATATGGGATTCAGATTTCAGCGTCCATAAGGAAGTGTGATGGGAACCAGGGCACGTCCAGCTGTTCACATGTTGCCTGTAACACAGTTAGTTCCTTATCCGCAGAGTCCGGTCGTTGTGAGCCAGACCATATGGCTCACAAAGATGACAATGTTTACCCTCGAGTCCTTTATAGGAAATGTGCGGAGCTCGGGTCTAGGATCGTGGGGTTATTTACATCTGTCATATCTGTACGGTGGAAAGTTTATACAGCGTCCTGTGGAAATTAATAAAAGAAACCTTAACTCAACTGGAGTCGAGAAGTCCTGTAGGGGAAGCTCTCGCCCATCCCACATCCTCAATGACACCAAACTGGAAGATTGACAGATGCCTGTATCTTGGACCAGAAGTACAACTACTTTACTACTGGAGGAAGATTTCTCTCCCTGCCCAGCAACAGCCCAACCAATGAGAAAACCCACAGCTCAGCCAATGAGAAGCCTCCACAGCCCAGCCAATGAGAAGCCTCCACAGCTCAGCCAATGAGAAGCCTCCACAGCCCAGCCAATGAGAAGCCCCACAGGTCAGCCAATGAGAAGCCTCCACAGCTCAGCCAATGAGAAGCCTCCACAGCCCAGCCAATGAGAAGCCCCACAGCTCAGCCAATGAGAAGCCCCGCAGTTTAGCCAATGAGAATCCCTGCAGCTCAACCAATGAGAAGCTTCTGCAGCTCAGCCAATGAGAAGCCGTTGCTGCCCTGAACTGCTACTTTCCCCCAATGGGCTCGCTTAGAACAGGCCCTCCCTCTCCCGCTTTCTGTATAAAAGCAGCTCCCCTGCTTCCTTCTCCGCATTTGCCTATGGCTTGTCATGGCATGCACATCTGAGATTGCAATTCTTTTGGCTATTCCTGAAAAAACTCATTTTGAGATTTTTCGAGTCAGCAGTTCACACTGTGCATCTTGTCCCAACTCTGTTCAATGGTGTCGTGCGAGCAGCTAGAAATCAGCCAGAGTGGGAACATTTACACCACGGAAATTGGCAGATGCTACAAATTGAGGCTCCTCCCCCCATCAGGGAGCCAGTTGTTAAACATTTGCCAATTTTGATGGAGCTGAGATCCCAGCGACAGTAAATACGTGATAGACTGTCAAGGGAGGGACTCGAGAGAGATGTGTCCCTCCAGTGGGGATGCTGGTGGCTGTGGATGGTCATAGAGAGAGCGCCCAGGGCCACAAAGGACCCCATGGGCATCAGAGCTAGAAATAAGTCAGGCTCCATCTTGTTCTCTCTGTATCTTTATGCTCTTCTATTGCAGGCTGAATAACGGCCCCCAAAGATGTCCACATCCTGATCCTGGAACCTATGAATATGTCACCTTATGTGGCAGAGGGACTTTTCAGAGGGGTTAAGTCAAGGACCCTGAGATGGGGGTTGGTTCTGGATTCTCAGGGGGCCAGTGTCATCAGAGGGAGGTGGGAGGGTCAGAGGCCGAGATGGAGACGCTGCGCTGCTGGCCGTGCGGATGGAGGAAGGGGCCCCGAGCCCAGGACGTGGCGCCTCTGGAAGCTGGAGGAGGCGGGACACACTCCTCCCCTGGGGCCTCCGCGAGGAACATAGCCCTTCCTTTTAGACTTCTGACCTCCAGAACTGTAAGATAAAAAAATCTGTGTTCCTTTAAGCCACTAGGTTTGTGGCAATCTGTTACAGCAGCCCTGGGAAGCTCACACATTCTTTCTAGCAATGGACCCCTGTGGCCCACAGGGAGCCCGCGTGCACCAGCCCGGCCATCAGTCAGGTTGAATCTCTTTTTTGTGACTTTTGTGAGTGGAGTCTGCTGGCACTGGACTCTGTTGGTGGCCTCACGTCTGCACAAGAAGACCCCTGCTTAGGGAAAGAGAAACGCCTTCCACTCTGACCCACTTCCTCTGTCCCTTTTTTGCTGGCATCCAGGTCGCGGTCCCCGTGTCCGGGAGCCATGGAGCCCACCGTGGGTGACTTACAGCTCACGCCCGGGGCCACAAAGGAAGTCCCTGCTCCAGATGCCGCATGCTGCCGAGCGGCCCTCTCTGCTGTCGTGGCCACCAGCATCATCGTCATCACCCTGGGAGCCCTCGTGGGTGAGTGGCTGGGGGCTTGCCCGGGTTCACACACCAGGCGACTTGCACAGAGACGCTCGGCAGTGGCTCAGTGGAGTCTGCACGATAATCGCAGAGCAAAGGGCTGGGCGTGCAAGCGTGGGATTGAAGGCTGGTCCTCCAAGCCCCCCCCAGAGCTCAGACATGCAGGCCAGGTGCAGGGTATGGGGCGCGCTTAGCTCCCATCTGGGCGGGCAACTCAATACCTGCAAATTTCAGATTTCCCACTGACGGGGTGAAAAGGAGACAACTAGGGATGGTGAAATGAGCTTTTTTAAACTCCTGAGAAATTTGAAAAATACCAAAAAGTATAAAAAATGAATAATTGTTTATATTCCTGCCGCCCACAATCAACAATGACTCCTATTTCATATTCGCTCCCCGTATATTTTCACATTATTTGCGGTGAATCATACAAAACCATGACCCGTGTATACGATGGGGGGCTCCAGTTAGAAAAATAAACAAAGGAAGCTCTTTTCACGTTTGAACAGACCGGCCGAAAGATACCTACGAACCGTGTGCTGTCCTGCATCCCGCTGTCCATCGGTGCTGTCCAAGCCGGGAGCCCCCAGCCCCAGGGGCTGTCTAGAGTTAAATCAATTAAAATCAAATAATGCTTAAAACTCAATTCCTCGGTCCCCACCAGCCACGTTTCAGTGGCTCAGGGCTACTGTGGTGCACGGTGCAGATCTAGAAGGTTCTGTCATCACGGGACGTTGGGCCGGGCAGCCCTGCTCTGGAATGGGGCTTATTCTGACATGAGGGGCGTCCTGCAGTTTTATTTGGGGATGTGAGAGGCCCTTTTCTTTTATGAAATGGTGATAGTCAGTGGCAGTTGGGGGGATGCTCTCATGTGGAGAAATAATAAGTTGCAATCCTACGTGGATCCCCCTAATTTATCTACATCTTTGTGGAACGGCCACCCCAGCTCGCAGCCCGGCACGTCTCACGGAGGCCCCCTAGTGGCTGCGGGCATCAACTGCAGGAAAATTGGGCTCGGTGTGCAAGTGTGTTGTGTGTGTGCCGTATGAGTGTGTGCATGTGTGCATGAGGGTGTATGTGTGCATGTGCGTATGCGTGTGTTGTGTGTGCGCGTGCATGTTCACGTGTGAATGTTGCTGTGTGCGCACACGTGTGTGAATGTGTATGATTGGGTGCACTGTGTGAGTGTGCATGTATGTGTTTACATGTGCACATGCGTGCACACGTGTATGAGTGAATATTATTGGGTGCATGTGTGTGCACACGTGTGTGCGTGTGTATGATTGGGTGCATTGTGTGAGCGTGCGTGCATGTGTGTTTACGTGTGTATGCACGTGTACACATGTATCAGTGTATATTGTGTGTATATGTTCACACGTGCATTGCGTGCAGGCATGTATATTATTGTGTGTGTGTGTGCACGCATGTGTGTTTTGTGTGTGCACACATATCTGAGTGTGTATGGTTGGGGAGTGTGCACGTATGTATGTGTGTTCACGTGTGTGTGCATCTCCTCACACCAGGGAGAGGCGGGGGCAGCGTTTCACACCTGCCTTCTAGAAGCACAGACACATTTTGTGCACAACAGATAAACATAACCCCCCGCAGACCCTTGAAACTAAGGAAGGCTTTCAGAGGTGCTTAAAATTTTTAAAATTTTCTTTAATTAAAATGGGAATGTCTCCAGGCTGCTGGAAATTTCCACTGTAGACGTTAGCCGCGGGGACGCTGGGGGAGGCGCCGGGGGCTCTGAGCTCCTTCTCCCACTCCCAGAGCCCACGATGCTTTCAGAGGCCCCACGGGGAGGCTGGGCTCCCAGCACAGTGGTCCACACAGCGGGGCTCGGCTGTTCTCTTGTTTCTTGAATGAGAAAACCAACCGTTTTTAGAATCGGCTTAAAATATGTGTTCTGTCTATTGAATAAACGATCACCCAAGTTCTATCTCAAAGAATATTCATGAGAATTGGGAACCAGCCTTCACGGTTTCGGTGGTTGCCATCGTATTCTTCACTCTCAAACCTTTTATGATTATTATTCTCTACCATTGGGAGCCTTTCCGACAGCTGGGACCCGTGTTGTCGCCGAGGGTGGGTAGGGGGCGGTGGTGAGGCCCCTGCGGGATTCGGTGCCCCCTCCCTGGGGAGGATGTGGGGCCTCTGGTTCCAAAGTGGAGGGACGGTCTCCTGAGGCCGGTCAAGCTGTTTGGGGCTCCAGCGCTGCCCTCGTCCAGACCTGGGGACCTCTGGGGCCATGCGTGCTACCTGGGGGCCTTCCAGGGGGTGCCCCGGGGAGCTGAGCACGGGGCCCCGTTACTAATCGCTCGGGAAGTCAACTTGCCTGTCTGTCGGGGGGACCCCCCCCAGGTGGCGGGCCGACCCTGGGGGGCTCTCTCACGGCCCGGTGTCCCCGCAGCCTCCTTCTCCACGCAGGGCGTCGCCGTGGAGCATGCGGCCCGGCTGGGGGGCCTGCGCTACGCCGCCAGCCTGCAGCGGGAGGGCTCGGCCTACCACCGCGCGCTGACCGCCGCCCTGCAGACACTGGTGAGGCCGGACCCGGGGCCGCCGGGCGGCAGGGCGGGGCAGGGCCTGGGACCAACAGGACGAGGCCCGCGTGGCCAGGGCTGGTGCATTCTAGAATGCAGGGGGAGCCACATCCCGGGGACCGACTCCTGTGGGATTTGTAGCCCATGTGCCAAGGCTGTGAGCTGCATTCCAGGGGGGACGTGAAATGGGGCAGCTGCTGCGGGAAAGTCTGGCGGGTCCTGGGATGGTTCACCACCTCGGATGGACACCCCTGGACCCAGCAATTCCGCTCCTCAGGGTCCACCCAAAAGAAGCGCAAACTCACGTCCACACTGAAACTTGTGCGTGAATGTCCACAGCACCATGACTCACAATGGCCAAGAGGCGGACACGACCCGAGTGTCCACCAACAGACAAACGTGTCCCCCCGCACGCTGGAATATTACGCAGCTGTGAAGAGGAGCGAGGCCCTGACACGGCCGCACGTGGACGGACCTGAACACATGACGCTCAGGGAGAGAAGCAGACACAGAAGGACACACGGCGTGTGATCCCATTGACGGGAAACGTCCAGAACAGGCAGATCCACAGACAGACAGCAGGCTTGTGGGGGCCAGGGGCTGGGGAGGGGGTGGGGGTGATGCTGATGGAGACGGGGCTTCTTGTTGGGGTGATGGAATGTTCTGGAATTAGAGGTGGTGGCTTTTCCCATAAGGCCAGAGAGTCGATATTTCTGGCTTTTCCGGGCCAGACAGTCTCTGTCTTGACTGCTCAGCTCTGCCATTGTGGCTGCAAAGCCGCCGTATATGACACATGAATGAACCGGCTGTGTGCCAATAAAACTTTATTGGTGGACACTGAAATTTGCATCATGTTGAAAATTTGCATCATTTTCATGCACCATGAAATACTATTTTTCTTTTGATTCTCTCCATCCACTTAAAAACGTAAAAACCATTGTTAGTTGGTGAACTGTACAAAAACGGGCCATGATTCGAATTCGGCCCACGGGCCGGGGTGGGCTGACTCAGTTCCCCACCCCAACGCTGCAGTGTCCAACAGCAACGTCACACGGGCCCCACGTGCCATTTAAAATTTTCTAGTAGCCACATTAAGGGAAAAAAACCCAGGTAACTTTAATTATAATATTGTATTTTATTTAACCCAGAATATCTAAGATAATACCATATCGACGTGCCATCAACATAAACAGAGGGGGAATTGAGATATTTCACATTTCTTTCTTTGTACAATGTCTTCAAAATCCAGTGTGTATTTCATACGCACATGTCGGTTTGGACGCTAAGTTTCCATCAGGAATACTTGATCCATATTTAGATCCCTTGACATTTACATACTCAAGTTGCTCCAAACACACTTAAGAGTTTTCCAGTAATTGCATCGAGTATCCGTTTTGAATTTTTTTTTTGAGGAAGATTAGCCCTGAGCTGACATCTGCGGCCAATCCTCCTCTTTTTTTTTTTTTGCTGAGGAAGACTGGCCCTGAGCGCACATCCATGCCCATCTCCTTCTACTTTATATGTGGGACGCCTACCACAGCATGGCGTGCCAAGCGGTGCCATGTCCGCACCCAGGATCCGAACCGGCGAACCCCGGGCTGCTGAAGCAGAACGTGCACACTTAACCACTGCGCCACCGGGCCGGCCCCCTGTTTTGAAATTTAACCACAAATTAATTAAAATTAAATAGAATGTAAAAATCAGTTGCTCTGTGGCACCAGCCATGTTTCAAATGCTCAATAGCCACCTGTGGCTGGCGGATGCCATATAGGGGTTGAGTGGGTGTAGAACATTCTGGAAATTTGTGGAATGTTCTATGGGACAGCGCACGCAGGTCTAGATGGCAGGCAATGGGGACATGGAGCCAGAGACTGAAGTTCAGACAAGCAGGTTGGAATAAGAGAATTTCAGGAGGAAGAATCGACAGGCATGACATCACATGTGCACAGGAAACAGAGAGGGTGACCACGCAATTCAGCACCTAAGTCAGAGGGCTTGTGACAGTAAACGGGGACACTGACGGTAATTGCACTGGGAGAGCAGATAAATGGGGACATGCGGTCACCCCTGGTACAGGGCACACGAGGTGCTGGGGAAGGACCCGGGACCCCCAGTCTTGGAGTTGCTGGGGACAGCACCTGGAGTGACAACATCCCAGTTAGCATGTTCACAGAATTGTGCAACCACCACCTCTAATTCCAGAACATTCCATCCCCCAAAAGCAGCCCCGTCCCCATCAGCATCACCCCCACCCCCTCCCGAGCCCCTGGCCCCCACGAGCCCACTCTCTGTCTGTGGATCTGCCTGTTCTGGACGTTTCACATAAATGGGGTCACACGCCGTGTGTCCTTCTGTGTCTGCTTCTCTCCCTGAGCGTCGTGTGTTCAAGGGCCATCCACGTGCAGCCGTGTCAGGGCCTCGCTCCTCTTCATGGCTGCGTAATATTCCAGCATGTGGATGGACACATGTGTGGATCCATCATTGATGGAGCAATATTTTCACATGAACAACTTCAAAATGCCCCTCCCCCTCTGTTACCCAGCTCCGTGACTCACCGTGTGTATGAGTTTAAGAGCAGGGGCTTTTCCGTGGGACACCCCATCCTCCAGCGCCCCCCACGCCAGGCCCCTGAGGGGACGGCAGCCCGCGCTGCGGTCTCAGCCTTTGCTGCCGTGTTTCCGTTGCAGTTTGTGAGCAGCTTTCAGGAGACGGAGCTGGAGGCCAGCTGCGTGGGCTGCACGGTGCTAAGTTACAGGTGAGCCGGGGGCCTCCTGGGGGGGTGACGGAACCCGGCTGGAGACCGGAAAGATTCTGGAAGATTCCGGCGCAGAGGAGCCCTCCGTCTCCAAGGGCCTGTCTCCTGCCTGCAGGAACGGGAACTCCAGCGTCCTCGTGCACTTCCGGCTGCACTTTGTGCTGCAAGCGCTGGAGACGCTGAGCCCGGGCCTGGAGGAGGAGCTGCTGCAGCGGGGTCTCCGCGCGAGGCTGCAGGGGCGAGGCCTCCCCCTGGCTGCCTACGGCACCATCGTGTCCGCCCAGCTCATAGGCAAGTAGGCCACGGCGACCGAAAGACAGGAGGCGGAGGCCGGAGGGACGCACCGTGGGAGGGTAGCTGGCTAAAAGTTGCCTTAAACTTGGGTTTTCCATAATGGCCCCTTCCTGGGAAAACAGAACACGTCTACACTGCTTTCCCCCCCTGTGGTGTAGACCAGGCACCGACAACCTGGGCACACCCAGAGTGTCACTATTTCCGTCTTTGCAGCCCATCGGGTCTGCGTCATGCCCACTCAACCCTCGTTGCACAAAAGCACCATAGACAATACGGAAATGAATGGGTGCAGTTGTGTATCGATAAAACTTTATTTACAAAAGCAAGCGGAGGGCTGGATTTGGCTCTCGGCCCTGGTGTGCTGGCCCCGGCATAGAAATAAGAGTGAATGCTCCGCTGTAAAGTTCACGGATGCTGTGCATCACGATTCGCACGCCAGACGTGAGTTCAGACTGTTGTCCGATTAAAGATCCGTCACCTTGACCTGGCCCCACTGGCCAGTTATGGTCCCCTCCCCACCGAGCCTGCCACGCTCCTTGAGTCTCAGCAACCGCGACATCAGCGCTAATAGGACTTTTTCCTTGGTGACGGAAACGGTTCACGTCTGCGCCATCCACCGCGGTGGCCGCCAGCGCCATGTGGCTGTCACACGTGATGGACGGGCGGCCAGAGAGACTGAGGCAGAGAACCCATCATTTCATTTCATCTTCAGTGATCGAAGTTAGAATTTAAGCGGCTCCCGAGGGGGACGGGGCAGCTCTCTGCTTTGCGTCATGGTGTCCTCCAGGGGACTCGGCCGTTCACTGACCGACTTTCCGTTTCTTCTCGGTTCCACCGCAGGAAGCCAGCGGGGGCCACCGACGGACAGAGACATGAAATCAGGTGTGTGTTTCTCTCTCCCGTGAGCTCCCTGCCCGGCTTTTCTGGAGAGTTCTCCCAAGCCTCTTTGCAGCACGCAGAGGCATCCCCAGGAGGCGGGAAATGCTGGTTTTTTGCGCCCCAGCCGCCCGCGGGGGCGGTGACTTCACAGTCCCGTGTGCGCAGAGGATCTAAAGAGGAGACACTTTGAATTATATACACACGGCCGAGCGTGATTAAGAGAAAACATTATTGGGTTGGTTTTTTTGTTTTTTTTTGCAAAGTGGTGGAAACCTGTTGTTAAAAGACACGAAACAAACAAAGCAAAACACGAAACAAACAGTTTGGGGGGGAAAAAGGAAAAAGAGTCAGTGCCATCTGGAATCTCGTTGCGTTGAATATTTTCCAGACAGCTCCCGAGACATTTGTAGATACATTTATTGAGCTTTATATCAGTGGCCCCCAACTAGGGGTGGTCCCGGCCCCCAGGGGACACTGGGTGACCTCTGGGGACATCTGTGGGTGTCACACTGGGGGAGCTCCTGGCATCGAGTGGGTGGGGACCAGGGATGCTGCTCAACCCCCCACAGCGCCCAGGACGGCCCCCCCCAGACCATGATCTGGCCCCAAATGTGAACTGTCTACTCAAAATAGCTAAAATGGTGAATTTTACGTTACGTGTATTTTTCCGCCATTAAAAACATTTAATTTCACCCATTTCTTACTTTTTTTGAGCACGGCTACTAGAAAATTTGGATGTACACACACACACGGCGGACGTACCCACATTTCTGCCGCCCAGCCCCGGCCTCGGAGCCGAGTGACGTTCTCGTGTGACGTCCCTGTCGTGATTCTGGGAAAATTATTCCAGAAACAGTCAGAGACGAGACAGCAGATCCGAGGTGTCTTCCGCGCTCCGGGGTGTCCGAGCGGAGAGGTGGCCGCGGCCGGGAGACGCGGAGTGAGGTCAGGAGCTCGGCCCTTCTCTGTCCTCAGGTCGCTGCCCGGCGGACGCCTTCGCCTGCGGGAACAGCCGGTGTGTCACTAAGGTGAACCCCGAGTGTGACGACAGCGTGGACTGCCCCGATGGATCCGACGAGGCCCGCTGTGGTCAGTCCACCCCTCTGGGACGTGAGCGTCCACTTGTCCTCGCCCAGCGGAGCTGTGGGCGCACAGCCCTTCATTAATTCCCCCCGGCAGCAATAAGTGATGACACGCGCAAAGTGCTTCCGACCCGGGGAAGCTCTCTCAAGCCTCGGTGTCCGGCTTTGCGGTGGGGTTGGTCACGCAGCACGAGCCCCCGTATGGCGGGCCACAGGCGTACAAATGTCCTGGGGCCACCATGACAAAGGGCCTCCGACTGGGCAGCTCAAACAGCAGAAACTGGCTCTCTCCCGGGTCTGGAGGCCAGAAGGCTGAGATCGAGGTGTCAGCAGGGCTGGTCCCCTCTGCCGGGGCCGTGAGGGAGCATCTGACCCATGCACTCCCCCAGCTGCCGGTGGTGCTGGCCTCTTTGGCGTCCCCTGGCTTGTAGAAGCGTCTCCCCCATCTCGGCCTGGGCCCGTCTCCCCATGTGTGTACCTGCGTCCAAATGTCCCCTTTTTATAAGGACACCGGTCACTGGATTTAAGGCCACCCTAGTGACCTTGTCTTAATTTGATCACCTGCCAAGACCCTTTTCCCAAATAACAGCACGTTCCAAGGTCCTGGGGTTTAGAACTTCAACGTCTATATGGGGACACAAGTCAACCCATAACCTCAGTCTCCAGCCTCTCCAGAGGTCGCGCTGATACCCACATGGCCCCTGTATCCCCCGCCCCCATCCACCCCACTGTCACATAAACCCTAGGCCGTGACACAAATCCCCAGGTAAATGAACACAGTCTTCTCAGGCGGGACATTCCAAGAGCTTAGAGGTTTCTCCCCTTCCTGGGGGCCCGGCTGGCCCTCTCTGTCTCGCAGACTGCGGCTTGCAGCCCGGCTGGAGGACGGCGGGCAGGATCGTGGGCGGCGTGGCGGCGTCCCCCAGGGAGTTCCCGTGGCAAGTCAGCCTCCGAGAGAACGGCGAGCACTTCTGCGGGGCGGCCGTGGTCGGGGCCCGGTGGCTGGTGTCGGCCGCCCACTGCTTCAACGAGTGAGCCCCACGTAGCCCACCCCGTCCCTGGGTCCCGCCTTCCCTCCCGCTCTGGGGACGCCACCGACCAGGAAAGGTGGCCAGGAAAGGTGGCGTCCCCAGAGCCCCTTGGAACTCTTTCTTTCTTCCTGTCTTTTCCTTTTCTGTTGTTTTTGTCAAATCTGAATACATTAAATCTTGGTAAGATATACATAACATAAATTTGCCATTTTAACTACTAAAATTCAGCGGCATGAAGCACATTCACACGGTTGTGCCACCATCCCCTCCATCCGTCTCCAGAACTTTCCATCTCCCCAAACTGAAGCTCTGTCCCCATGAAGCACTGACTCCCACCCCTCCCCCAGCCCCTGGCCCCCCATCCACTTTCTGTCTCTGTGGCTGTGGCTCCTCTGGGGACCTCCTGTGAGTGGACCACACAGTGTGTGTCCCTCTGTGTCTGGCTCACGTCCCTGAGCATCACGTCCTCCAGGTCCGTCCACGTGGGAGCAGGCGTCAGGATCTCCTTCCTTTTCACGGCTGCGTAATATTCCAGTGTCTGCGTGGACCACACTGTGTGTGTCCATCATCCATCATGGACACTGGGGGCGCTCCCACTTTTTGGCTGCGGTGAACGTGTTTGAGTCCCTGTTTTCAACCCTTTTGGACATAGACGTAGGAGCGGAATTGCTGGCTCACACAGTCATCCTGTGTCTAATTTTTGGAGGAACCGCCATCCACTTTCCCACAACCGCTGCCCCGTCTTCCATTCCCACCAGCCGTGCACAACGCGCCAACTTCTCCACGTCCTCAGCAACACCTGTGCTTATCTGTCCTTTTGATTCCAGCCGTCCCCGTGGGCTCGGGGCGGCGTCTCATCGTGCTTCTGATCAGCACTTCCCTGATCATCGGTGACGCTGAGCATCTTTTCCTGTGCTCATCGGCCATTCATATAACTTCTTGGAAGAAATGTCCATTCAGAGCCTTTGCCCTTTTCTTTTTTTTCCTTGAGGAAGATTAGCCCTGAGCTAACATCTGCTGCCAATCCTCCTCTTTTTGCTGAGGAAGACTGGCCCTGAGCTCACATCCGTGCCCATCTTCCTCTACTTTCTATGTGGGACGCCTGCCACAGCATGGCCTGCCAAGCGGTGCCATGTCCGCACCTGGGATCTGAACCGGCGAACCCAGGGCCGCCGAAGCAGAACGTGTGCATTCAACCGCTGCGCCACCAGGCCGGCCCCCCAAGGACATTTTTAAAAATTGTGCCATGTCACCCAGTATTCAATCCATGTTCAGTTTTCCCCAGTTGTCGCAAGAGTCTGTCTTAGAGTTTTTTTTGCTTTTTCTTTCTTTCTTTCTTATTCTGATAAAATTTACCATTTTAGCCACTTTTAAGGCAGGAAGAGTTGTGACGTTGAGCTGAGAGGGGGTTGGGGACAGGCCCTGGAGGGAGGCTGGGCGCTGAGGGCGGAGGGGACCGGGGCCGTGGGGCTGGGCTGTGCAGCCCCCGGACGCCCAGGACCTGCCTGGGGCCGGGCGGCCAGCGACCAGCGCGGCTCAGGCAACAGGCTGGGCGGGTTTGGCCCCGGGCTCTGCTGGGAAGCGTGTTGTCCTGTGGACCGAGCGTGGGATCCGCGAGGCACATGTCCCTCGGGGCCGGGATCAGGATGAGGAGAGCGAGGCATTCGCCTGGGGGCAGCGATGCGAGGGGCCACCCGAGGCCCTCCGTCCTCCGATGGGGGAGATTTTCACGCCACCTTGTAAAACATCCAAGTGACGGCCGGGCGGCCCGGTGGTGCAGCCGTTAAGTTCGCACGTTCTACTTCAGCAGCCCCGGGTTCGCTGGTTCGGATCCCGGGTGCGGACAGGGCACCGCTTGGCAAGCCATGCTGTGGTGGGCGTCCCACATATAAAGTAAGGGAAGATGGGCACGGATGTGAGCTCAGGGCCAGTCTTCCTCAGCAAAAAGAGGAGGATTGGCAGCAGATGTTAGCTCAGGGCTAATCTTCCTCAAGAAAAAAAAAATCCAAATGAATGCAAGAGAAAAAAATCCTCGATGAACAGAACGTACGATTTTAGAACGAAGACCTGATGGGCCAGGCCGGGGTCCGGGGAAGGGGAGGGACGGGAACGGGTGGGGTGCCGTGTTTACGTAAAATGTCGATATTGTGTTCATCCTGGAGTTTTTTGCATCCATTTAGATGTTTCACAAGTCGGCGTGAAAAGACGCTTTCTTACAGGGCCGGCGATTTGGGGCGCCCCCTGAATACCCTAATCCCAGCCCCGTCGGATCCCGTCTCTGCTAAAAAATGGGGTTTTAATTTTTCTGCATTTATTTTGATTTCTGACGACGCTGCATGACAACATTATCTGGTCTGCATGACTCAGTTTGGGGGGCGCCCCCTTAGCATTTTGCTCCCTTCCCCTCCGTGGTCCCCTGAGCTGTGGTGTGTTCTCCCCACCCCCGCAGATTCCAAGACCCCACGGAGTGGGTGGCCTACGCGGGCACCACCTCCCTCAGCGGCTCGGAGGCCAGCACCGTGCGGGCCCGCGTGGCCCGGATCGTCACACACCCCGCCTACGACTCGGACACGGCCGACTTCGACGTGGCGGTGCTGGAGCTGGGCAGCCCCCTCCCCTTCAGCAGGCACGTCCAGCCCGTGTGCCTGCCGGCCGCCACGCACATCTTCCCGCCCCGGAGGAAGTGTCTCATCTCGGGCTGGGGCTACCTCAAGGAGGACTTCCGTAAGTGCCCGTCTTTCCGCGGCCCCGCCGGAAATCAGGCAAAACGCCGCCCGGCCTCATTATCCGCGGGTTCTGCGGTTACCGTCCCGCCTCATTATCCGCGGGTTCCGCGTTTGCGAATTCGCTTACTCGCGAACGTCGTTTGTTCGCAGCCTCAATCGGACGCTCGCGGGAACTTCCCTTTGCCGCCGCGCGCAGAGGGGTGAAGATTTTGAGTCGAGGACACGCACGTTTCCGGCTGAGCTGGAACAAGGCGACGCTCTGCCTTCTTGTTTCACCTCAGGCTGGAAAGCAGGGTCCTTTTCGCGGTGTATTTTCTGCCGCATTTTTTTTTTTTTTTGCATCTTTGTGCTTTTGGGGGTCGTTTTGCTGTGTAAAATGGCCCGCTCGCCGAGTGCTGGCCAGTGTTTCTAAGGACAGGAAGGGCGGACTGCGTCTTAGGAAAAAATACCCATTATTTGAGTTTCGCTCAGGCCGTGAGTTCAGGGTCAAGGAATCGACAGCGTGTATTAAATAAGGTGTCTTCAGACAGAAACGCGCGGGACAGAAGGTCGTGCGTAGGTCGGTTAACGACAATGTCGTGGCCGGAGGCCGGCAGGACTGTCCCCCTGGGACCCCCGGGGAGCAGCGGGTCCATATTCCCTAATTCAGTGTTCCCGGCGACTTTATGGAGCAGAACCGCCGGGAATAACGAGAATCGACCGTAATTTGATGCTCTGCGCCTGTGCCGTCCGCTATGGGGGCCACCAGCCCCGTGGAACGCGGCCGGGGCGGTTGAGAAACTGAGTTTTACGTTGTGTTTCATTTTACTGAATCTCAGTCTGCATCTAAAATGGCCCCACGAGGCCCGTGGTGACCATACTGGATGGTGCAGTTCCGGGGGGAGGCGGATGCTAAACAAGATAATTGATAGTGATGGAGGCCAGGGAGAGGAATCGGATGGGGATGGAATCAGGGAGGGCTGCCAGTTTAAACGGGGAGGTCAGGAGAGGCCTCCTTGAGGAAGAGATGAAGCAGGAAGGCAAGCACATTCCGCAGGGACAAGCATTCTAGGCAGCTGGAACAGCGTGTGCAAAGGCCCTGGGGTAGGCAGCCCAGACTTGGGTTTTTCAATTCCAGCAGAGCGGGACGAGAGTCACAGCAGAAGCAGGGGAGGGGGGCCTCAGGGAAGAGTGGGTTTTTGGAGGGGGGAGCTGAGGGGCCCATGTGGGGTGTCAACTTTGACGCCTCATATCCGTAATCATCGGTGGAACCTTTAGTGTTTGCTAGTTTCTGGGCTGGGTGGGCAGCTGGGGAAACTGAGGCTCGGAGAGGAGATGACGTCCTTCTGCCTCCCGGCTCAGGGGGGCTGCCTGGGGCCCTGAAACGCTGCCCCCTCGTGTCTCCCCACCCGGGCAGTGGTCAAGCCGGAGAGGCTGCAGAAGGCCACCGTGGAGCTGCTGGACCAGGCCCTGTGCGCCGGCCTGTACGGCCCCTCGCTCACCGACCGGATGCTGTGCGCCGGCTACCTGGACGGCAAGGTGGACTCCTGCCAGGTGAGCCCCAGGCCACGCCCCCTGCCCGAGGCCGCCGGGAAAGGCCCCCGGGTTCCCCGGGTTAAGAACGCAAGAGTCACGGGGAGCTGGAGCAAGATAGCAAGACAGGATGGGGCGAGGGCAGCTCAGGCCCCTCTGGCGGGACGCTGCTGCTGTCGTGAGAAGTCTCCGGGCTCCAGCAGGGCAGTCATACTGTTGACTTAAGCAAGTAGTGACATTATCAAAGATCTACTGGCATAAGGAGGGGAGGGGATGTTGTTTATTTGGGTTTTAAACTGCCAGTGGTAGAACTAAAATCGATCTTTGAGATTCCCATAGTCCAATGGTCCTATTTTATTTTTGCAGAAGAGAACTGGGGTTCTGACAAGTGAATTATCAGCTCACGTGTGCCCCGTGAGCTCGTGGAGGGAGGTCCCCGTCCAGGGCTCCTTCTCCGACCCCACGGCTCTGGGCTTTGGCCTGGCTGCTGCTGAGGGCGTCCCTTTGTCTCCTAGGGGGACTCGGGGGGCCCCCTGGTCTGCGAGGAGCCGTCCGGCAGGTTCTTCCTGGCCGGCATCGTGAGCTGGGGAATCGGGTGCGCAGAAGCGCGGCGGCCGGGGGTCTACGCCCGAGTGACCAGCCTGAGCAACTGGATCCTGGAGGCCATCGCCACCCCGAGCAAGCCCCCGGCCCCCACTGTGGCCCCTGCGCCCGCCACCTCCAGCACCGCCTGGCCCAGCAGCGCCGAGAGCCGGGGGGTGGACACTCCCACCCCACCCATGCTGGCCCCCAGCCCTGTGCCTCAGGACCCAGTCACTGCGTCTAAGCCGCAAGGTATTGGGGGGCAGGCAGGCAGAGGGGGCGCCCACCCCCGGGGTCGGGTGGATTGGTGCTGGCTTCCCGGAGGGGGCGTCGGGAGACAGCTGTGCCTATTTTAATATCTGAGAAGCGTCGTTTCTTTTTTTCCAAAAACTCCGTACACTTGTTTGCGTGCATTTTCCCCAGGTGAGGGGTCAAATCAGCTTATCTGTTTTTTTACTTTTATTTTTAATTGTGATGACAAACACATAACAGAAAATCGACCGTCTTAGATGTTTCCGAGGGCCTCGCTCTGTTGCCTTAAGAATATTCATCTGGGGGCTGGCCCGGTGGCACAGTGGTTAAGTGCGCATGTCCCCTTTGGGGGCCCAGGGCCTGCCAGTTCGGATCCCTGGTGCGGACATGGCACCGCTTGGCAAACCATGCTGTGGTAGGCGTCCCACGTATAAAGTAGAGGAAGATGGGCATGGATGTTAGCTCAGGGCCAGTCTTCCTCAGAAAAAAAAGAGAAAAAGGAGGATTGGTGGCAGATGTTAGCTCAGGGCTGATCTTCCTCAAAAAAAAAAAAAAAAAAAACAGAAAAAAGAAAATTCACCTTGTTGGCCCTGGAGCCGCCTGAATTCCTGCCCCAAGGGTCTCCGTCTGCCTTCCCTTTGTGGTTTCCGAGGGCCGGGCTCTGTGGCAGCCCGGATCTGATAGTGATCCCCCTTTATGGTCCCACAAACCTCCGAGCCGATCGAAGCCGCTTCATTTCACGTCGCTTACGCCCACCGCGTCTGCACATCCCGGGATAACCCGGCTCTTCCTCGGCTCGGGGGGCCGCCCCGCGCTGCTCCTGGTGGCGACGGGTCTGGGTCTGGGTCTGGCCGGCCGGGCGCGGGCGGTGCGTCTGCTCCTTTAGGACCTGTGTCCCCCACCCCCAGCAGTGAGACCTCAGGACCCTTTAAGCCCCGGTCTCTCGCTGGGGTCGTGGGGACGAGGGTGCCCGGGCTGCCCGCACGCCCCCTGTCGTCCCCTCAGAGTGCGGGGTCCGGCCGGCCCTGGAGAAGCCCAGCCGCATCGTGGGCGGGCTGGGAGCCGCCCCCGGGGAGGTGCCCTGGCAGGCCAGCCTGGAGGAGGGGTCCCGGCACTTCTGCGGAGCGGCCGTGGTGGGGGACCGCTGGCTGCTGTCGGCCGCGCACTGCTTCAACCAGTAAGCCCACCGGCCCCCCATTGTCACCAGCTGACCCCCCCGCCCCCAGGGTCACAGCCGGGTGTGTGGACGCCCCCTTGCAAAGAGGCGGGGGGCAGGAAGGAGAAGTGGGGGCTCTGTGGGTCGGGCCAGGAGAATCCGTCGGGGTCTTTGGGGGAGCAGCCGTGCGGCCCTTTCTCCCCGGGGTCCCCGGGGTGGCGTCCCCGGAGTGGGGTGGAGGGGGGGCACGGCAGGGGGCTGTGAGCGGCCTCTCGTCGCAGCACCAAGGTGGAGCTGGTGCAGGCCCACCTGGGCACCGCGTCCCTCGCGGGTGTCGGCGGGAGCCCGGTGAAGATGGGGCTCAAGAGGGCGGTGCTGCACCCCCAGTACGACCCCGGCCTCCTGGACTTCGACGTGGCCGTGCTGGAGCTGGCGGGGCCCCTAGTCTTCAACAAGTACGTGCAGCCCGTCTGCCTGCCGCTGGCCGTCCAGAAGTTCCCCGTGGGCCGCAAGTGCATGATCTCCGGCTGGGGGAACACGCAGGAGGGGAACGGTGAGCCCCCGCCCGCGAGCCACCCGCCCGCCACTCCTCCAGGGGGTCGCAAACTCAGGCCCCCCCCCCCCCCCCCCTGGGCCCGGGGCAGCTGCTGTTGATAAAGTTTGATCTGCACGCCCCCGCCCGCCCCCCGGGCTCTGTCGGAGCCAAACTGGCTATTGGACGGGGCGGCTCTGTAAGTGGCCTCGGGGCGGGCGGGGGTCTCCTCTTCCCGGCAGCGTCCAAGCCTGACATCCTGCAGCGCGCGTCGGTGGGCATCATAGACCAGAAGGCGTGCAGCGCGCTGTACAACTTCTCGCTCACCGACCGGATGCTGTGCGCCGGCTTCCTGGAGGGCCAGGTGGACTCCTGCCAGGTGAGCGCGCCCAACGGGGAGCCGGCCGACATCTAGGCGACATGCCCGCGTCCCTCCGGCCGCCGGCGTGGCTGCTGGCGCGGGCCTGGATGTCTCCAGCGCTCGACGTGTCCGCCAAGATGGAAGGGAAAGCGGTGTCAGGTGGCGGAGTTTGAAAACCGTGCCTTGGGGCGGGGCTGCCTCAGTTTCCCCACGGTGGAACCCCACCCTGGAGCTTGGCGGTGGAAAACAACCACTCGTGGTGATCAGAGATGTGAATTCAGATGGGGCTTGTCTATGCCACGCAGCGTCCCAGGCCCCGGCCCGATGGGGAGGCATCTCTCCTTGCACGTCTGCTCGTGGCCGCTGGCGGGATCGGCTGTGCCCTCCACGTGGCCTCCCCTTGCGGTCTCTGCTGGGCCCTCGGGGCTCCCGAGAAAGCAAGGCGGAAGCACGTGGCCCTTTTTTTCTTTTTTTACTGAGTCGCCTGGCATTGCTGCCCCCGGACTCTGTGGGCTCGGCCATCCTAAGGGTTCAAGGCAGGGACGGACCCCACCACCCACCCAGCGGGAGGGTCCCAGCGTTCAAGGAGCACATCGGGTGGGAGAGGTCGTCTCAGCCGGTCTTTGGGAAACATGGCCTGCTATTCGGCCTGAGCTTTAGCATGACGTTCTAAATTTTTAAAGAAATGTGTTACTGGTGGAAAAAAAAGACGGGTGGCCGGCGAGCCGTGGTTCATTCCAGGTGGTGGGAAAATCCTCGAGGGTTATTTTCCTCTTTGGGGTTTTCTGTATTTTTTTTTTTTTTTTTCCTAATCTCTGAAACGGGAGCAAGAACAAGTGAGGCTCAGGGAGGAGAAGTGACCTGCTCAAGGTCACGCAAGGTCACACGGCCAGGCCTGGGTCTGCAGCCAGGTGTCCTGAGTCCCGGTGCCCACGGTGGGAACGCGGGAGGGCACCGGGGTGGTCCCAGCCAGCCCTCTTTCCTGGTTTTCTAGGGCGACTCGGGGGGCCCCCTGGCCTGCGAGGAGACCCCCGGTGTGTTTTACCTGGCGGGCATCGTGAGCTGGGGCATCGGCTGTGCTCAGGCCAAAAAGCCCGGCGTGTACTCGCGCGTCACCAGGCTGAAGGGCTGGATCCTGGACACCATGTCCTCGCAGCCCCTCCCCGCGCCACCCCCAGCCACCATGAGGACGCCCGCCACCACCAGTCAGGCCCCCAGGACGACGGCTGGCCTCACAGCCCCGGGGGTCACGGCCAGCAGACCCACCCCCCCGGCCACCAGCGGGGCGACCAGCCAACCTGCCAACAGGACCACCACCGCCATGGGGACCACCACCAGGGGACAGACGCCGCTTCCACACGCCCCGGAGACCACCCTGGGGCCCCAGCCACCAGGTACTGGGAGGGGTGGAGTGACACTGGGGGTGGCAGGGGTCCTGTGTCAGTCTGCGAGGTGGCCATCACCATGTCCCACGGTCTGGGCGGCTCGGACAATTAATTGTCCCCACGCTGGAGGCTGGCGTTGGCAGGGCTGGTCCCCCGAGGCCTCTCTCCGTGGTGTGTGGAGGCCGCTGTCCCCCTGTGCCCTCACGTGGTCGTCCCCCGGTGCGTGTCCGTGTCCTCACCTCCCCTGAAAGGACCCCAGTCGTGGGATTGGGGTCCACCCTCATGGCCTCATTTACCTCAGTCACCTCTTTCAAGACCCTTCTCCAAACACAGCCACATTGCGGGGTCCTGGGGGTCCTGGCTTCAACTTCTGAATGTGGGGGCGACGCAAGTCAGCCCGTCCCAGGCCCTGACAGCCGGGGACACGGGCACGGGCCACAGACGTACGCTGTCTGGTGGCACGTGCCTTATCCTGCTAGCCCTGTCTGCTCCCATTTTACAGAGGACACTCTTGAGGGTCCCCTGGGTGCAGGGGGAAGGCCCTGGCGGGCGGGTGTCCGTGCTGGGGTCACCCGTCCACTCAGCCAGAGTTCGTAAGTCCCTCCTCTGTGCCAGGTGCCATCGTGCCAAGCTCGGGGGCAGAAGGGAACTCGAGAGACACACACACACGCTGTGACGACAGGTAGCTAGAAGGGACGGGAAGTCAGAGCAGGACAGAGCTGGGGCTCGGGCAGCAGACCCCCCAGGCTCCCCGCCAGGCCTGCAGGGGTGTCCAGGCGCCCCGGTCCGGTGCAGGACAGCGCGGCCGTCACGGCCGATGGCGACATGGACGGCGAGGGTGCCCCTGGGATGCTTCCGCTCGTGTCTAAAACTCTGAGTTCATTTTTATTAAATACTAGTCAGAGCTCTACAGAACAGCCGGATTTGTAGGTCGAAAATAACGGCCATGGAATCTAGGCCCTTTCCTGTGGCTCAGCCGGGCAGTCAGTCAGCAGCCCCCCGAGGCGTCCGGGACAACTAGAGAGAAGATGCTCTGGCTCCGGGGGGACACGGGGGTGCCATGTGGCCCCATCTTAGTGAGCCCACCCACTCCCCATCCCCCACCGCCCTGGGCTTGGCCTCCAGGGACCAAATACCACCCCCGCCCCCCGAGCAGAACCCACTGGAGAGGAAGGTGGGGCTCTGGGGAGGGTGATGATGGGGGAGCAGCAGGAGGCACCACCCCCACCCCCACCTCGCTCTGGGCCACAAGCCACGCCCCCACTTCTCTGGCCCCCAGATTCTGGGGGCCACGTCCGGTCTGGCCACCTGCAGCTGGGGAGGCAGGGACAAGCAAGCTCTGGGGGGAACCCCAAGGGGCAGGTGCTCGGCACACGGGGCTGCTGGTCTGGGTGGGTGGCCCGCACTTTCCTTCTCACTGCGGAGTTTCCCAGAATCCCCGCTGTTCCACGTCCCTGTCTGTCGGCATCCTCCCGGGGACACCCCTAGAGGCTCTGAGCCGGGAGACCTCTCTGTGCCCCGCCTCCTTCATCGCCCGACCCCCCCAGGTCCCCACCGTCCTTCAGTCCACGGCTGGGTTTAACCCCACTACGGAGAAGCCGGGTGGACCGCTCACAAGCCCACAGCCCCATCACAACCTCCACGTGTCCTGAGGGGGTTTGTTCCTTTCCCTGCACATTTGGACGCGGTCCTGGCCCAATGGGCCTGACTCCCCCAGACGCGGACCCACACCCACAAGGTCAGGTTCGCGGGTTCTTTGCAGGGGGGCGGCCTGCCCACTGCAGGAACCAAAGGAGGGGACAGGTGTTAGGGGATCTGGGGGCAGAGTGCGGTGCAGGGGACGTTGAATGAAACAGTCTTCACTGGCTCAGAGCAACGCAGACCACGTGCCCCGGTTCTGGGCGGCCAGGGGGACCCTGGAGCTAAGACAGAGGTGCAGCAACGAGCCTGGAACCCCCTGTGGGAAGCTCTGCAGCTGGACTGGAAATCCAGGCTGAGGCGCTGGGACTCGGGTCCTGCAAGCCCTGGGGCGCCACGCCCGCCCGGCTGTGCCCCTGCAGCGGTCTCTGCCCGTCTGCGCCGGGGGCGGGGGGGCGTCCAGTAGGGACGCTGGGAGCAGCGGGCGTTTCGGTCCTTTGTGGCTGGCTGATGGGGCCTGGCCTCCCAGCCTGAGGACCACTGCTTTTCCAAGAGCCACAGGCTGCGCGTCCTGCCCCTGGGGGCTGGCCGGGTAGGAAGCCCCAGGAAACGGCGGCCTTGTTCCGTGTGGCCGAGGGGCTGGCTGCAGGTCCCGGATGCTCCAGGCCTCCTGGTCCTCGGCCAGGTCCCTGTGGTGTCAGGAGGGTCGAGGGTAGGGAGCCGGGCAGGTGGTCAATTGGCCCCCCTCCCCTTGTTCCAGGCGAGGACATAGCCCTTCTGTTCCCTTCTAGGGCCCGTCCCAAACCTGGGGGGCAGGGAAGGCAGCTGGGTGGCAGGAGAGCAGGCTGGGCAAGGGGGACGGCTCCCCAGGAGGAAAAGGAGGAAAAGGCCTGTGGGAAGTGTCCCCAGGGGTGGTAAGGGTGGTCTCTGCCGCACCTCTTGAAACCACTGGTTTGTCTTTCCTACAACTGTGTTCTGAAGGTGCACCTTGTGCTGGGGGTGGGTGTCACAGCCTGGAGGAAGTATCGGGGAAGGAGACTGGGTCACACAGGACCCGGGTACAGAGCAGCAGGAGGGCATCCGGGCAGGGGCCCAGGGTGTGCAAAGGCCCTGGGGCAGCAGGAGACTCGGCCCCGGTGGCACCAAGAGATGCCTGGAGGCGGCGGTGGTGGTGGGAGGGGACGCTAGCCTGACCCCAATCTGAGGATATCGGAAACAAACTTAAATGCACTTCAAATGTTACTTGAGGAAAGTGCAGAGGCTCGTTTGTAGGACCAAGCGCCAGGTCCAGTGTTCCTCCGTGCCGAGTTTTCGAGAGGCGGACCCCGCCCTCTCCCGGCTGCCCCTCCCCAGCGAGCCCACTCAAGAACTGCGCGACGGGGGCGCCCGGCGGGCTGCGCGGAGGAGGCGCCGTCGTGCACCCAGCCGACCTGCCGCTCCGATCCCCGCAGACTGCGGCCTGGCGCCGGCGGCGGCGCTGACCAGGATCGTGGGCGGCAGCGCGGCGGGCCGCGGGGAGTGGCCGTGGCAGGTGAGCCTGTGGCTGCGGCGCCGGGAGCACCGCTGCGGGGCCGTGCTGGTGGCCGAGAGGTGGCTGCTGTCGGCGGCGCACTGCTTCGACGTGTGAGTCCGCCCGCCTCCGGCCCCCACTGCCCCAGGCCTCTCCTCCTCCAGGCAGCCCTCCCCACCCCCACCCCCCCACCCCCGGGCCCGACCACCGCGCTGGGGGCCAGTCCAGCGCTGCCGCCCTCACCAAACCCGGGGGGGTCTGCAGCCTCTCCTCGTCCCAGGCCAGGCGTGCGGGCGACATCCGGGTCTCTGGGGAACTGCAGGACACTTCCACACCCCGCCCCCCTCGGATTAGCGCCAGCCCCCAAAGGCCACCCAGTGGGGAGTCCCCTTCCTGGCAGGGTGCTCAGTCAGTGAGCCAGGCGAGGGGCGCCGTCCTTCACGGAGACACCCAGCTCAGGGTGCACACTGTGCGCCTTGCGCGCCAGGGTCAGAAACAGTGGGCAGGGGCACGGGGTCCCCTCGCCCTCACCCCTCCCCTAGGAGAAAGGGACGACTCTTAGCCCCATTTGTGGATGAGCAACCCGAGGCCAGAGGTCAGGCGCCCTGCCCACGGTCCCCAGCCGGCCGCTGGGGACACAAGCGAGGCCGCGGACACAGCCCCTGCGGGCAGGGTCCAGGGGAGGTGCAGGCGGGCGGGGGCCGGGGATCCGGGCCGACGCCTGTCCCCGCACGCCCCGCAGCTACGGGGACCCCAAGCAGTGGGCGGCCTTCCTGGGCACTCCGTTCCTGAGCGGCGCGGACGGGCAGCTGGAGCGCGTGGCGCGCATCCACAGGCACCCTTTCTACAACCTCTACACGCTCGACTACGACGTGGCGCTGCTCGAGCTGGCGGGGCCCGTGCGCCGCAGCCGCCTGGTGCGCCCCATCTGCCTGCCCGAGCCCGCGCCCCGGCCCCCCGACGGCGCGCGCTGCGTCATCACCGGCTGGGGCTCGGTGCGCGAGGGAGGTAGGCGTGCGGGGGCGTCGGCAAGGCCCCCCAGCCCGGGCCCCGCGTGCAGGGGTGGGGGCCCCACGGTGCAGGGCGGGCGCGCGGCTCCAGCGGCCCGTCTCCCCCGCAGGCTCGATGGCGCGGCAGCTGCAGAAGGCGGCCGTGCGCCTCCTGAGCGAGCAGACGTGTCGCCGCTTCTACCCGGTGCAGATCAGCAGCCGCATGCTGTGCGCGGGCTTCCCGCAGGGCGGCGTGGACAGCTGCTCGGTGAGCGCACTTTGCCGCTGAAAGAGGGGCTGAGGGGGGGGGGGTCCAGGTCCCACCCGGGAGGAGGGCGAGCTCTCCTCGCTCCAGGGCCCCCCAGCCAGGCCCCACCCTCCAGTGCGAGCTTCTCACGCGGATCGAGCCGGGCACCTTTTCGGCCGTGGAGTTTTCGCTCCGTTTATTGGGCGTCCATCATGAACCCATTTCCACTCCCGCGCGTCCTCCCCGGGCCCCGCAGAGCAGGGACGGGAGGGGCAGCCGTGCGAGGCGCTTTCGGCTCCGGGACCACAGTGGTGGGGGGTCCGTAGACGCCTGCCAGCCAGATGAATGGGTCATCCTAGCACTCAAGCCTTCTCCCAGATAGCAAGTGAGGCTCACAGCGAGCCTGGTGACCCACGGGTGTGACGACGCCCGAGGGCTGCGGTCGGGGAGGGACCGCCCTGCTCTGAGGACCTCTTCTCTCCTCAGGGTGACGCTGGGGGCCCCCTTGCCTGCAGGGAGCCCTCCGGCCGGTGGGTGCTAACTGGGGTCACCAGCTGGGGTTACGGCTGCGGGCGGCCCCACTTCCCGGGCGTCTATACCCGGGTGGCTGCCGTGAGAGGCTGGATCGGGCAGAACATCCAGGAGTGACCGCCACGTGGCTGTGCAGGCCTGGGAGAAGCCGGAAAGGCAGCAGGGACCAGCTGGCCACCAAGCCCAAGCATGGGGCGTCCAGGCGGCGGCGGGGGTGGGGGAGCCGCGGGGAACAGGAGGCACTTGTACTGTGTGTTTTGTCCCAATAAACGCAGCCCCTGTCTCCAGCCTGCTCGCTCTTCAATTGCATGCCACCGCAAGAACCACTTGGCTGCCCCTCATCCAGGACCCAGAAATGGGAGGAAGGGTGGCCTTTGGGACTGGGCGAGGTCAGCCTCACCTTCAAGGCCCCCTTGGGTGCGAACACATTTCCGGTCACCTGCGAACCAGGTACCACCCAGGAGAAAAGATGGGGGCGGGGTGCCCAGGTGCACGCGGCACCTTCTCCCACGAGATCCCTGCAGGGAAGACGCACAGGGTGCTCTCCGCGCCCCCTCGGCAATTTATTTGTCACCCCCGAGGGGGGGGGTCACAGCTCAGTTGGGGTCTGACCACGTCCCCCCAGGTCCCAACCCGGATTCTGGGTCCAGGACTCGAGGTAGACCTGGGCACAGCAGGAGGGGTGCCAGCGCTCTGGGAAGTGCCCAGCGCCCCCGGGACGCGAGCTGCAGGCGCTGGCAGGTGCGGGTGGGCGGCGGAGGAGGCGGAGTCCCCAGTGTCCCAGCACCGGTCGCGTCCTCGTAAAGTCCACGCACGCCGGCCCGTTCCGCCAAGGACATCTGTGGACATGGCCGGGGAGGGGTGCTGCCGGCGGCCCGGTCACATGTTGGCTCGTTCCCGCTGCAGCCGCGAGTTGTAGGCGCGGGACACGGTGTTCCAGGCGTCCATGTAGCGGTCCATGCACATGGCGATGCACTTCTGCAGGCGGGAGCGCGCGCGGCTCAGCTCGGCCCGGGCAGCGGACTGCGCACGCGCACGGCCCACCCAGCACGGCCCCTCGAGTCCGCGCACGCGCAGACACCTCCCCAACCAGTCCGGGGTCCGGAGCCACGGCCCCAGCTCACCCCGCGGGTCTCACCTGCTCGGAATTGTCCAGGGAGCCCCCCGGCTTCCCGATGCACTTCCGGAAGCACTTGTCCGTCATCCTCTGTGGGGACACGCGAGCCGTCAGCCGCGACCCGCCCCCCGGAGGCTCCCGACCCCCGCCCCCGGCCCGGCCCCGGACCTGCAGCAGCTCCTGCGCGTTGGCCACGGCGATCTGCACCTTCACCTGCTCCATGATGAGCCCCGGGTCCAGCTTGCCGCTGCCCGAGCCCCCGAAGTCGGAGCCGAAGCCGCCCTCCATGGCTCGGCAAAGTCAACCAGACCGCGGCCGCGTGCGCCGACCCGTACCGGCGCCGGAAGTCGGCCGCCCAGGGCACCACGGGAAATGGAGTCCGGGCGTGCTGGGCGCGGGTCCGGACCACAGTTCCCGCAAGGCTGTGCGGGGCTCCCTGCGCATGCGCAGATGGGAGCAGGCCGTCACCGACGGGAGTCGACGTCTCCTGTTCAGACTCCAGGGGCGAAGAGGCCTTGCGGGGGCGGGGGCGGCGAGGCCTGTCACTCCACGGTCAGGCTCCGCCTCCGGGCCAGCCCCCTGCGCATGCGCAGAGGGCGACGGGCGGGTCTACACTGCGCGCTGGGGCCGGGGGAACGTTGGGGGAGGGGAACCACGTGATCAAAAGCACAGCCTGGCGTCGGAGCCTCGGGTAGAAAGCCGAGGCAGGAAACACGGGTGGGGCTAAGGAGGAGCGGAGGGTTTCTGTGTACCCTGGCCAGGGAGACTCTCCCTTTTCCCTTGGGTGGGTCTTAGCCACCCGCTTCACTGGGGGCTGGGGCAGCCCCGCGTCGGCGTACACTCGGAGGCAGGCCTTAAAACCAAAATGTTTATTGGAGTGCTGTATAAAAAGTTTCCAGTCATAAAATGTATATTACAAATCATCGGAGAAAAAGACCACCTGTTTGGCATGCATCTTAAAAAGCAACCAATCTCGGCGTGGGGTCCAGACCAGACTGGTTCTCGGCCGAATGCACCAGCAAGACCGACTTAAGACCTTTTGAGTGGCTTTGCCGTCCTTGGGGAATGTCAGTCCCGACCGGCATGTGCTAATATAAATAGAACTGCTGGGTTTACGGTCCAGACAACCCGACCCAGGGCCCTTGCTGTTAGCAAAGTAGCTGAGCGAGTGGGTCCGAGGTGAGGGCCCAGGCTGGTGGGAAGAGCCCTCGGTGTAGACCTGGGTTAGTGTAGCCCCTCCCTGCATACCCGCAGGCAGGCTGCCCCCTCACCAGGGCTGGGCCGAGCCCGCTTTTTCTCCAGGAAGGGTGCCACTCAATCACATGATAGGGGTGCAGACAAGGGGACCATTTCCACATCATTTTACGTGGCTTAAAGCTAAGCATGGTTAACGGGTGCAAATCACTTCCCAGCTTCCTGCTCCGTGTTTGCGAACACTTGATTACCAACAACCATCACCCACCTCCAGTCACCCACCAGCCACCAAGGCCAGCGGTCCCTGCCCCCCAACAGCCAAGGGCACCCCAATGGCTGCCTGGGCCACCTCCCAGTTTCACCCAAGACCTCAGCCAGACCAGCGTGGGGTGGGGGTAACACGAGATCAAGCCCTATCTACGTGCCTGGGGGCTCTGCAGGCACCAGGGGGGCCATCTGGGCCTGCGGGGAGGGTGGGGTTCCCCTTCCTTCCTGTCCACGAGCCCAGACGGCAAGACAGACCCAAATGCCAGGACACAGCTTTGATCCCCAGAGTCCCAAAATACATCCAGGAGTGCAGTCGGGGCCACTGCAGACTTCCTGCATGTCCGGGGGCCACCAAGCCCCACCCTCCCCACACCTCACCAGCACCCCGACTGTCCACCCAGCTCTGGCTAGGCCAGGGCAGGAGGAGATGGCAGCCCACAGCCTCGGGCCCTGGACGCACTCCAAGGCAAGGTCACCCAGGGGGTAGGGCAAGGTGGTGGCCAGCCAGGACAGGCAGCTCTCCGGGGCCTGGAGACACATTCCCCTCCACGGGGGAAACAGCCCGGAGCCTGGCAACTTAAGGAGGCCCTAGAAAGATGAGGACTGAAAATAAGGGGCTCCCTCCTGGCAGATTCTAGACACAAGGGCAGCAGCAGAGCTTGTGTTCTGTGGGCCACTGGCACTTCCCTGGCCTGGGGCTCCAGCCTGACCCTCCTCGCCATAAAGCAATTCCTAAGGAAAGCCAGATGCTTGGGACGCATGTGGGGTAGGGCAGGTGTGAGGCTCTGGGTGGGCCGAGGGTGACCCATGGGCGCCGGCACGCCTCCATGGCTCAGGGTTGCGTCTTTAAGACTTGAGCTGCGCTTTCTGAAGGAGTTTGCCCTCTGGGGGCTCAGAGCTCACCGGGACAGGCCCCGGGATGCCACCCCTGGGAGGACTGTCCTGGGGACCCTGGCACCAGCCCCCCGAGCAGGATCCTGGCAATCTGAGTACTGACCAATGTAAAAAAATAAATATCCGTTAAAAAAATAACTTCTGTGTATCTACGTGGGAGGATGTAGGCGGGAAGCTAATGCAGGAGGGGGCGCCGGGGCCGCGGCAGAAGCGGCTGTGATGGGGGCCGTCCCCCAGGAGTCCCTCTGTCCCGGACAGAAGCTGGGCTGCTGCCGTCTGTGGAAGAACCTACATGGGAACGGAGGTCGGGGCTTGGCCCCGCGCACGGCGGAGTCGGGAAGTGGCCACCTTCCTCCTGCCGGGAGCACTCGCTACACACGGACACTGTTCGGAAACGCGGGCGCTTGCTTCTGAGGTTGTCAAACTTGTCCCCTCACCATTTACCTGGTGACAAGTCATAGACTGGAACTGCCCCTGGCCCCCAAGGTTCCTTCTCTCCTGCCCCACTGGTCCTGCAGGGTGAGGAACTTGCCTACAGAAAGCTCCAGAAACGCCAGGGTCAGGCAGCCAGAAAGGGAAGGAGGCGGCCCGCCCCAGAGCGCCCCAGACCAAGAGGGCAGACACGGGGCCTGCCGCTGCCAGGGCGGGAACTGTGACCAGCCCCGGGGGACCGGGCCAGAGTACAGACCTGCGACTGCCCACTGCTGCGACAGGCACCTCGGTGCCAATTCCGGTCAGCTGAGACACGATTGACAGGGGTGCCCCTGCCCCCCCAGGTCGGAACCTGGATCTGAATTTGGTTGGTAAAAAAGCTTAATAAAAGAAACCACTACTACTGAATACCTACTCAGGGTCGCGCTGTTCCCCCCGGCCACCAAGCCCACTCCCCTGACCCTGTGGTTCCTGGGCCTCGAATTCAACCAAATGGTGAAATGGGGCACCGAAGTCTCCTGGACAGTGTGATGGACGAGGTCGGAGGGGCCCACCGACAGGAAGGAGGGAGAGAGACCCCCCCTGTGATCTGTCCGTTTGCTTAAAAATTCTCTAGAAAGGTATTAAGGACTAAAGAAGCCAATGATAGAAAAATAGTGTTCAGTGGCTCTGGGTGAAAAAGGACGCGCGATGAGGCGCTCCCTTCACATCACGCGGCAGCCGCGGGAGGTGGTCCTCGGGTCCCCCTGGAACGAAGGACAGCAGCAGTTAGTGAGCCGGGCGGCGGCCCAGCGCCTGGGCCATCTCAGGAAGCTCAGCTCCCAACGGGACAACAGGGCCAGCGGCTTGGGCCTCAACCGTCCCTGTTCCAGAACCTCACACGTCTCCCCTATCTCTGTGCCGAGCTACACAACACGACAGGGTTTTGGGTTTCAGACACCGGAAGTCTCACGACTTCTGTCTCCTACAGCGTGGCTCCTGGGCTCGCCAGCTTTCCCAGAAAGCCGTGACTTCAGTCACCAGCATCTCAGACCGGGGCATCGTGGTGTCAGAGCATCGCTGGGAACCCTGGGGGCTGCGCAGTGCACTCAGAGAATTGACTGGCGTCAACATCCTCCTCCCGGGGGTCCCCGGGCAGTACCCCGAGGCCCACACACCAGCAAGACCCAGGAAGACAGGGAGAGCTGCCCCCACGGCCGCCGGAGGAGCCAGC